TTATGATTAATATATATTTTATGACAGACTAATTTGAATCTATAATACAAAGAGGGTGATAAGTAGGACAGTAAATTAAACTCCCTCCCCCCAAAATGAAATACTCCCTTTCTTAAAGGACTTCAGAATAGGAGAAGGTGCATTCTGACAGGCGAATAGCACTTAACCACCTGTCCTATTTCTGAAGCCAAACAAACACATCCCCCATTTCTAAACAGATCTTTTAATGGTCTATTATACAGTGTTTTGAAGTACAGCTGATCTGTGACTTCAAGTTCAGGGCATGAGCCATACCTGTCACCTAGACCCCAAGAGACTGAAAATGCTACCCTTTGATTTGGGCATCTGGGAAGGTTTGAAGAGTCTCAGAAGTATGCAGCTCGGGAGGTGTGTCGGGTTTATGAAGATTTGGCCTCCGTGTGTTTACCTGCCGAACACCGTCGTGGGCTTCATGTCTGCCAAGTCCAAATACACACCTTTCACTTAGGATGCAGCTAGGAAGGAAGCCCATAAAGAACTCAGACGACACACTTGGTGATGGCCAAGGGCAGAATGAAACCAGCTGAGCAGAATATTGCGTGACAAGTGGGGCTGAGGAAGCAATTTGACCTGCCCGGGGAATGGATAGCAGGAGAGCCGGCCAGCTTGCCCCCAGCCCAGACCTGGAGATCAGTGTCTTCACTCATTGATTTTCTGAAAGCCTATGACTAACCAGCCCCGCGCCTCAGGCCCCAAGCTCACAAATATATACACAATTCACAGGTCAGATGTTCTGAAATGATTTTCCCACCTATGTTTGCCAAGTTATATAGAATCGCCTACTTATACATTCCTCAGGAAATATGTTACCTCTAATGTTTGGCACTGTAAGCAAGCAATAAGGTGCAGGCTTTGTCTCCAGGTGGGGATGGGGCAGTTGGGTGACCCTAGTATGTGAGCAGCACTGGTGTGAGGCTAGGGGCTGTGGGCAAGTTTATCTCCACTACTCTACTCGCCTGACCCATTGCCTTTTTTTATAGAGACAGGGTCTCACTCTGTTGCCAAGGCCTGAGTGCAGTGGTATGATCATAGCTCACCGCAACCTCAGACTCCTGGGCTCAAGCAATCCTCCTGCTTCAGCCCCCCAGGTAGCTGGGACTACAGGTGCATGCCACCACACCCAGCTAATTTTTCTTTTTTTTAATTTTTTGTAGAAACAGGGTCTCACTATGTTGCCCAGGCTGGTCTCAAACTCCTAGCCTCATGCAATCCTCAGCCTCCCAAAGTGCTGGGATTACAGGCATGAGCCACCCCACCCAGCCTACTTGCCTTTCTTGCAACACCATTCCCCCTACCTTTAGGTTCAACAGTTGGGTTCTCCAGGAGGCATACCTTGAGATGGAGTTCTAGTAAAGAAAGTGTTTATTAAGGAGCCCACAGGGCTCATAGGGCCAACACCTGTGGGGGGAAAGGGAAGAAAACAGGACTGGGCAAAAGGAGAAGTCCAGCTACCATGCAGACCCACAAACTGCCTGGGCTAACTTCGCAGAGAGTCTAGAACTGGAGTTTTTCCAAGCTGAGAAGGGATGGCCAGGCCTGTGTATTATCACATCAATCAGCCACTGGAGGTGGGTTGCCCTGGAAGATGTGGTGACCATGGGTAAGGTGGCTCTCTGCAACTGGTAATCCCTGAAGAGCCTGGTAGGTGAGGGCCAGGGCAACGAGTCCTTCATCACAGGGGGATCTGAGCAACACAGTGTCCAGAAGGCCTCTTGCTGGGAGCTTCCACTCTGTTAATCTTCAGCATATTGTGAGGGTTGCATTACCTCCCTTAATGTACAGATGAAGAAATACAGACTAAGCAAGCCCCTCTGGGCCCTCAAGCTGACCTGTGACGTGCTGGTTTCTAAGCTGGCAGGAGCATAGCTAGTTTTCAACAGCAGGAGTAGAAAGTCTACAGGGTCGGGCCCAGTAGTCGGTGCTGTCCATTGGTAGAGGAGCAAACACATAGGAAGGAGACAACCATTCAACACCTTTTCGATACCCGTCCCTCCACCCCTGCCCCCAGCCTGCCCACTACTGTTCCAGTCATCTGTTTCACATTGCTTTCTTTAATAGCTTTTCCATCGTGGTCTCCACAGCCTTCATGCAACTTACTCCTTTGAAAAGCATATGGATAAGGCAAAACTTGGCCAAAGAGCTCAAGAGGAAGCCACCCCACCTCCTGCTCTCCCCACCGCCCAGCTTTGCTTCTGACTCTGGGCTCTTCCATACATCCCACCTGGGGTCTTGTGCCCTATCCTCCTTCTAGCTCCCCTTCCTGCCACCAAAACGTGGCTGCCTGTGACCCACTCCCTCACATGTTTTCCCTTAACCTGACAGAGCTAATGCTGATGTCTGCTTACTTCCCTTGTGGGTAGTGGTCATTCTTGAATAGGGGCTTCTCAAAGACAGCAATTTAACCCTGAAATGTTCACCCAGTGATGAGGCAAAGTAGATGGGGTGAGAATATGAAAATTTGGGGTCAAGCAGAACCTTGTGGCACCCCAGTCCTTTAACTCAAAGTCTCCTATTTATACTACCTAACAATGGCTGGCTGTGGAGTAGAAATAGAAGCTATATTGATGTCTAACATCTGAGGCATTTAGGTAACATTTATGCTATGTCTGTTAACACTCAGGCCCAACAATAAACCAAACTGAAACCCTCAGTTGTGTGACTTCCCAGGTCAGGACTTTCCATACTTCTGAAAGTATGGAGACTTTCCAGGTAAGTTGCATGATGTCCTTCTCATTAGGTGAAACCACCCACCACTGGATTTCTGGGTTTGGGACTTCACTGGGCCCTAAAGCTTTCTCCTTTGGCTCCAACTCACCCAATTCCATGTCCTGCCCTCAGCTGATCCAGACAGTGAGTGCAGTGGACCAAGACAACCCACGCGATGGCCAGCATTTCTACTACAGCTTGGCCCCCGAGGCTGCTAACAACCCCAACTTCACCGTAAGGGACAACCAAGGTAATCAAATGGACAGTTCGCTATCTCTGATTTTCTACAGCTTAGGCTGGCTACTTTTGGTTACTATACTATGCAAACAGTGTCAAAGGTCACCTGCTCTTTAATAGCAGGAAGGACATTAATTTGTAGTATCTTTTAAAGTTTTGTTTCAGAATATTAAAGACAAAGAGAGCCCTCTGCTGACTCTAAAAACTTTCATTCAGTCAGTAACTCAACAGGTGTTTACCAAGGACGTGTTCTGTGCCAGACACATTACAAAGCACAGAGGCAAAATCCTTCATTCATTCCCAAAGATAGCAGCCCTGTTTATGTGTTCTGTAACACTGGCAAGAATCTGAGAAAGATGACAGAAAGTGACCCAGAAAAAGAGAAAAACCTGAAGGAACATTTCTATGCAAGGATCAAAGGAGGAAATAGTGAAAAGCTCTCAGAACAAAAGGGAGACAAAGCCGAAGTAACAGAGACAGCAAAGGGAAAATACAGGCACACACACAGCAGCTCTGGCAATGAAACAACTTTATTACTTTAGAATGACTTAGAGAGACACATTCAGGTGGGGTTCCCTTTCCAGGAAGTGCACCCCACTACAGCTTTGCTAGCACAAAATTCTAAACCCCTCTTCTCCAACAAGCACTCAGTTCAGCTAAGGGGGTTATAGACCCAGCATACTCTTCTTTGAGCACAAATAGGAAAAGGAGAGACTTTTGTTCTTTTGCCAGATGATTGCTTCAAAGAAAGGTCAAAGCAATGGAAAAAACAGGTTATTAATAAATCTGTCAAATGAATCCGTTCTGTTAACTCTGCTACCAACTAGCCATCTGACCTTGGAGAGGTTATCACTTCTTAGGGCTGCAGTAGCCTCATTTTCATTCCAATTCTAAAACACTGCCACTTTGCAAAAGTCTAAACAAAAGATAACAAAAAGTCACGTTTGGGCATGCTGGTCTTAGTCTGAAACATCTGTAATTTGAGATTAAAAGTATTAATTCCACACCACATGATAGTCTTCTGCTATAAAACTGGAGAATCTCAAACCTGTTTGTTTTCTTCTACATGAAAAGCATTCTTCTAAGACATCCCTTCAACCTTTTCACGATTTTATCATAAAATCACTATAATAATTCTAGAAGTGAGGGCAATATGAACTATAAAAACAGAAATACCATAATTAAATAGCCCGAGATTTTTATTGGGTCAAAGTTTTGAACTATTGATTTATCTGTTTCATAGGGAAACCCTTCCTGCAAAAAGTAGTTTCAGCTGCCGCACGATTGATTTTACAAAGGAAACCATGGGGGGGGCGGGTAACACATTATATTGTTTCTTTAAATTTTCAGCCGTCACTCTAGTCCTTCACTCTGGTATTTGTCACAATCAATACAGAAACAACATGCAGCAAAATGCTGAAAATTTCTCAAAGATGACTTTGGGCACCAATTCATGGAACCAATACCTTAAAAAGATGGGCCACTGGTCCAGGAAGAACAAAAAAAGATATGACTTGTCTTTTGGAAGGTTTCCCAAAAGAGAAGTCAGCACATTTTCAACAGAGAGCATGAACTCTTCATCTCTTTGTGACAATTTACTCCATGAGCATCCTTTCCTGCGGCTCATTGAAAAACTGACCAGCATCTGATGTGGCGGATCCGCTGTCAGGTGCCCCTGCTCCCATGCGCAAAACACGTCCTTTTGTGAACACAACGGGGCACTATCTCAAGTAAAGCCTCTTTTACTTTGTAGCCCAAAACATTACGACAAGATTGTGTGTATATAACACTTCATTGCAACAGCATTTTGCCACGCTTTGCTTTATTTGATACTTATAATAACTCTGTAAGGTTTTAAAGAAGCTACTGATTCCAATGACTCTCACTGTGCCATTTGATAGATGAGGAAAGTAAGCAAACGGCCCAAGATCCGAGAGTAGGTGTTAAGATTGGGACTAGAAGTTGGGCCCTGTTTTAGCCACACGCACACAGTGTTTTGTGTCACCTTAAAAACAAATACTGATTCCAAATGAATTACTAAAGCTTTAATTATCACATTCAACAAAAATTTTCCAAGTGACTACTGTATATTGGTCCCCTTCCAGAAATGGACTCAGCAACACGATGCTCCGATTTTTTTCTTTCATCTTTTTTTTTGTTTCTTTTTTTCTTTTGAGGCAGGATCTTGTTCTGTCACCCAGGCTGGAGTGCAGTGGCATGATCATAACTCACTGCAGCCCTGAACTCCTGGACTCAAGTGATCCTCCTGCCTCGGCCTTCCAAGTAGCTGGGATTACAGGCACGTGACACCATGCCCAGCTAATTTTTTATTTATTTTTTTGTAGAGACAGGGTGCCCAGGCTGTTCTCAAACTCCTGGCCTCAAGTGATCCTACCGCCTTGGCCTCCTAAAGTGCTGGGACTACAGGCATGAGACACTGTGCTTGGCCCATATTATATGTTTCTTGATTATTTAAAATTAAAGAAAAAAGGGCCAAGGAGTGTGTGTTCTGGAGTCAGAGAGACCAGAGTTCAAATCCCAGTTCTGCTACTAACTAGGTTAGTGACTTGAAACAAATTATAAAATATCTCCAGGCCTTAATTGCCTTACTGTAAAAGGGTGAGGTTATTACTATCTCACCAAATTGTGGTGAAGATTAAATGAGATACTGCATGTAAAGTGCAAGTATATGGCCCACAAGCACTCAATAAACTATATCTGCTACCACAAAAAGCAGGGGTAGGAAGAAAGAGAAAAGTTAATTAAAGGATAATACATTAGTCAGAATAGGCCAGGTTATGCTACACGAACAACCACCACCAAAATCTCAGTGGCTCAGTGCAACTAAAGTTAATTTCCTGCTCACATAATGCCACTATGTCCAGGTGCCCCAGGACAGCTGTCCTCCATCTGTAGCAGTGTCCTGGGCTGCTTAGATCTCCACCTCACACAGCCACAGCAAGGCAAAAGAAAACAGAGAATCATATGCCAGCTCTTGACATGCTTCTGCCTAGAACTGACACAAATCACTATTGCTCATATTTCATCAACTAAAGCAAATCACACAGACATGCCCAAATTCAAGAGGATAGGAAAGTATAATCCTTTATTACCTGAGAGAAGGGAAGGAGAACCAAAAATATTGATGATCATTAATAATGTTTACTTTGGTTAGGCTCTCAGAATTTTTTGTGAAGTTCTAGACTCTTTCCTGTGAAATGTGAAACACATCCAGAGGATATTCCATGTTGGTGGTATTCACTTTGAGAGTCATTTCTTATACATCCTACCACATCTCTCCAATTTTTCCTCTGCTGAAAATTGTCTGAGCTTTGCAAAAAATGTATCTACTTTAGAATTCAAACCCACTCCAGGAAACCTGAAAACACAGGTTAAAAAAATTAAAAATCCCAGAACATGACAGTAGGCAAATATAAATGTAAATACACACACACCACACACACCCCAGCTTGGTAGAAACACGTCTAATAATTGGCTAATCCCTTTTAAAACTGAAGAAAAAATAACTTGTATTGCTGATGAGGAACAAATTTATCACCAGGTTCACATTAACTGCTTAAACTTAGACCGCCAAGGCAGGAGAAATAACAGGGTGTGTCATATGATTAGGGGATTTCAAATAAGCTTCTGCTAAATGAGCGGGTTCTTGAGGAAGCACAGGAGGCGCTGGTGACTGCATTTCAGAGGCATAAAAGAAAATAGCAAAAGACATGAATTCTAGCCAAAGTGGCAAAAATAAGCAATCTGCCACAGCCGCGAGGGCTCCTCGGCATTCTCTTCCCGGAGGCACAAAGCAGAGCTGGGGCCTTGGCAAGCTGCTGAGCAGGAACAAACAGGGACCACAAGTCACCAGTGATTGTTCATTGCTGTCAAGCTTTCCCAGGGACAGTTTTGTTAGATTTGAAGTCTGACAGTTCACCCTGGGCACTTTATGTCACAAAGGGTAAGACAGACTCTCAAAAAAAGCTTTCTCTCCTAGGCCTCAGGGTTTTGCCTAAAAGCAAGCAAAAGTCTTGGTTTCTGAATCCAAATGCTGATCCAGGCAAACCTGCCTTAGCTGTAGCTGAACACCTCCAGGGCATGTTTGACTATCCTTCTCTCTCCTTCCTATACGCTGTCCCTGCCCCCTTGCTTTCCTCAATCCAAGAAATTAATTTACCTTCCCTTTTTCAATCCTGGAACCCCTTGCTTCTTCAGATAACACTGCCCGGATTCTAACGAGGAGGTCTGGCTTCCGGCAGCAGGAGCAGAGTGTCTTTTACCTGCCCATCCTGATAGCAGACAGTGGGCAGCCAGTGCTGAGCAGCACAGGCACGCTGACCATCCAGGTGTGCAGCTGTGACGACGATGGCCACGTCATGTCCTGCAGCCCCGAGGCCTACATGCTCCCAGTCAGTTTGAGCCGGGGTGCCCTCATTGCCATCCTGGCCTGCGTTTTTGTCCTCTTGGGTGAGTAAGGGGCTCCTTTCTGTTCTGTGGGGTTCTGCAAATGCTTACTCAGATAATCAGTCAGTTACCATCTTGACACCTATTCGGAATTGGTGTTTTTCAAATCTTGCTTACTGAAAGAGTGGTAGAGTGAAACTGGGAAAAAGTTAAAAAAAAAAAATTGAAGATATTCCCTTCCTTCAAGGCCTGACAATATGAAAGTACATATGTTTATCAATCATCTACTAAGAGCAGGAGCTCCATGCTAAGTGCTCGGATTAATAAGACAGACATGTCCCTGTCTTCATGAGTTTACTTCAAACAAGCTAGTTCATTTTGACATCACAGAACCAAAATTGTAATTTTGGGCAGGATAAGATGATCACCTCTTCTAACCCGTTAACTTCAGATAAGGAGTAGCTAAATCACATAGAGATAAGTGACAGACCCAAGGCCAAACGTCAGAGGCAGAGCCAGGACTGAAATGCAGGCAGACCATACACTGGGCACCCCTGCATCTCAGCAGCACTGCTCTTCTCCTAAACGTTCATCCCCCGATTTTGGAGGTGATTAATACCGAGAAGGAAAGAGGGACAAGGTGTCCCAGGGGAACACGGGACAGGGATAGGTGTCATTTCAAATAGCGTGGTCAGGGTAAATCCCTCAGTGATAACGAGACCTTTGAGCAGAGATCGAAGGAAGTGATGGCATGAACCACATGGATTTGGGGAATAAGCTGTTTAGAGGCATTAGCACCCTCCCGGGCACTGCAGCCATCTAACAAAGGGCAGTGACAAAACAGGGCCCGTCTGCCTCTGCTGGTGAAATAAAAAGATGCGATGACAGGCTAGTGGGAAAGCATTACTGGGGTAGGGGATCCTAGCTAGGTCTGTGGAATATGCATCTCAGAACACATTTTAAAACACAGCATGTAGTTTAATTTTGTTGTTTTACTTCAGTCTTACATGAGGGGAGAAAAAGTATAAATAACCTTTCCAAATCCTTGGATCTCTGGAAGAGAGAGAATTGCTATGGTTTCTGGTCCATGACTATACAAATAAAATCTCCCTACAACTCCAACCTCCCTGCAATTCCTTGCGTGTCCATACGGTGGCATTGGGAGTCCTTGAGTGCAGAACAAGACGACCTGCAAGAGGCCTTTGAAGAAACCTGCTCCTAGGAGAAATTTCCAGACTGGCTGTCCTTACTTCTACCTTTAGAAAAATGTCTATGTTACAAGTTCACCCTGGCCCACAAAGAGCAATCATTACAGAAATACTGATTTAAAAAGACTGGCTCAGAGAGACTCTGAAGTGAGAAATGGCATGCAAGGGATAATTTATTTTATCCCTCCCAAACTCATCATGTCTTGTCTTTCGAATTGTACAGAATAAGTAAACAGTTTTCAGGAGCTAAACTGAGCAGAGCTGTCATAACAGCCTCACAGTTTTAAGCATTCTTATTTCTAAGAATGCACATCCCATATTAAAAACAGTCCATAAAACTGTAAGATTTCAGTTGTAGTTGTCAACAAAATACATTTTATGGACAATTAAATAAACACATTAATTTTGGCTGTGTGGGTTTTTTTCATGTCTCAAATATGAACCTAGTTCCTAGAAAATCTCATAAGCCTTATGTACTGTGCCTATGGTACCTAAAGAATAAACATCCCTAGAACTGACTCTGTCAGGGAAGTCTTTCAGCTGAATAGGACCATTTTTCCCAAAATCTGATTTTCAGGGCATCATACAATACTTGTTATTTAAATCAGATTACTTAAAAAATAAGACATGTCAATTTTTATTTTTCAAGAGATGGACTAGTTCTATATAAACTGCCTAATTCTCCATGACTATCAGAATTCTCTCCAGCAGATACTCAAAGACTTTTCAATTTTGCTTGCTAGCATCTTCCAACATACCACTTCTACCACTCCAGGGTCACCTATGTGAAGCTCTTCTCAATCGGCCGAGCAGAATTCACTGGCCTTGCCTCTGTACTCTCCTGACAACATTTGTGATCCAATGATAGCCCTTATCACTGTCTGATTTGTATTAATCATCAGCATCTATAATCTCCCTAGAATGCAAGCTCCTAAGAGCAGAAACCATGTCATATTCAATGTTGTTTCCCCATTGCTTAGCACAGAGCCTTAAAAATATTTGGATTTAGTTACTGTTTACTGAATCCCACAAACACAGCATGTTCACTTAGAATCCCATTTCTCCAGTCTGCATCAATCCAAATCGCACTCCAGCCTTTGATACCCAATTCAAGCCCTCACTTCCTTAGAGCCCTATTAGTCTCTTTCTCTGAAATCCCCACAGTCCTTTGAATCCATTCCTATTTTTTCACCTACAGAAAATATACAAGAGTATATCACTGGTTCCTGTATGTGCATTTTGTCACCCAAGATATTCAGGAAAATATTAGGTATTAATATCATTAATTACAATCTACAAAAAACATCTATGTTCAAATTTTTTAAAAATCATTAGTTTTATTAGTCAGTCTGTAATCTTTTACTGCACATATGACTGTACTCCATTTTTTCCTCTTGGATAAACTGGGGTCTTATTTTGCAATGCTGTCAAACTGTCACCGTTCACTGGCTGTAACAAAGCACGCCAGAAAAAAAATCAATAGCAGTTCTACAACTAAAACCTCAACATACTTCCTGGAAGACGTTTTCAGTCACAGAGATAAACAGCTCAATGGGATTATCTCTATCTCTCCTTTAAACCTGAGTGAACACATCCTGGGGAAAAAAAATGCATTTGTTGGGATAAAATTTTATCCAAACCTTCAAGGGCACATCTAACAGTGTGGTGCTTCTCTGATAACATGAATTATATAAAAATGTCACTGTTTATCCTCTCTCTTCCATGAACACCATTGGGTCCAGAAATCCACAATCACCTCTCTATAGCAAAGGTTTTTCTGAGGAATCTGAGGTTATTGGCCCCCAAGGGTCATTAATAGTCTCTTATCTTTTGGAGGAGGTATAAAAAGACTAAAATTTTAGCTTACACATAGCGTGTTTGTCTATATGCATATTAATATATGATTACATAGACAGTACAATCTTATTAAGATACTAATACAAGAAAGCAGAATTCCACCTACATAATAAGATCTCCACATTATAATAAGAGATATGTATATTCATCATCACATAAAGAAAGTACACGATCTGGTCCGTAGGTTACCTTACTCCACAGCAGGCCATAGTCCTTTATGCCTTGTTAATAAGATCTTACATCGGGTGTTGGGTGTGTACACACACACTATTTCAAAACAGCACGCTGATGTAAAGAGACTTTATATGCAACTGCTAATTGCACCACTTGAAAACACACAGGGCTTCACGGGTCCACAAGCTCTCAGTCTGACATGGCACAAAGAGTGAGAACGAGGTAGACTTAGGTTAGAGCTTTCTGAGGTTTTAAAATACCCAAATGCCGTCTCTGAGCTCAACACTCAGCAAACTCTTCCCGTATCTGTGGCTAGTCAAGAACACTTAGTCGCGGCACACACAGCCAGGTCTCGGTGGTTAAACAGCCTGTCTTCTTGTTTCCGGCAGTGCTGGTGCTGCTCATTCTGTCCATGCGGCGGCACCGGAAACAGCCTTACATCATCGACGACGAGGAGAACATCCACGAGAACATCGTCCGCTACGACGACGAAGGCGGCGGCGAGGAGGACACCGAGGCCTTCGACATCGCGGCCATGTGGAACCCCCGGGAGGCGCAGGCAGGAGCCGCCCCCAAGACGCGGCAGGACATGCTGCCCGAGATCGAGAGCCTCTCCCGCTACGTGCCTCAGACGTGCGCCGTGAACAGCACCGTCCACAGCTACGTGCTGGCCAAGCTCTACGAGGCCGACATGGACCTGTGGGCCCCGCCCTTCGACTCCCTCCAGACATACATGTTCGAGGGGGACGGCTCTGTAGCGGGGTCGCTGAGCTCCCTGCAGTCGGCCACATCAGACTCTGAGCAGAGCTTCGACTTCCTCACGGACTGGGGGCCGCGCTTCCGGAAGTTGGCTGAGCTCTACGGGGCGTCGGAGGGGCCCGGGCCCCTGTGGTGACGGAAGCCGGGAGGCAGGCGCGCGTCCAAATCCAGACGTTCTCCGCCCGCGGATGCTTCGCGGACGAGGTGCGGCCGACCGCAAGAGCAATACTGTGCTGGAGAGTGAGAATGGGAGTGAGCGGGGCGAACAGAGCTCTCTCTGGATCAGCTTTACTTGGTTAGATTAAGTTAAATAATCAAAAGGAAACCCAGGAAGAGGAAGGCAGAATCTCCAATTACCTTTTTGTTCCTTTTCTTTTTAGTTTTCCTGAATTATTATGCAAAGGCTTGGAGGCAAGCTTGTCTTTTCTTTGTCATTTGCCAGGGTCTTTGTCACCTTGCCACCACAAAAGGATATAGAAGTGGCAGTTGAGAGCAGAAAGTACTCTTCTGGTATCCGTTTTTTCTTGTATTTTATTCTCCGTTTTGCTGGCTCGTCAAACCGCAGAAACCAACCCACACATGAGAACATAGAAAAATTGTTCCTCCCTGAAATTAACCTTCTTGTCCTGGGATGGATGGAATCTCTTTTAACCCTTTTCAGACAAGGTTAAGACTGAATCCGCCTTGCATGGGGGATGGGTGGGAGGGAGGGAGAAGGAAGAGACATTGACTTTGTGCTCAAGTTTAATGGCTGAACCAAGAGTTGCTGGCATTACAGCTAATCCAACATCACTAAGTTAGAGTGCTCGTGTTCTCCTCTCGGCTCTGACTGTGCCCCTGCAAAAATTGTTAAGAACGAAAGCAGAAAATCTGCCTCTTTTGCACTGTAGATGTCTCTTCCATGTGCCAAATGTGGAGATTAGATGCTACAAACGAAAGCCAAATAAAAAGAAGTATCTGATAAAAGCATGGGTTAGAGGGCTTTCCTAATCTGTGTGAGGTCAATCCAAGGGATGTTTACATACTGTAGATAACCTACTTGAACAAAAATCAGTATTATAGAGAATGGATGTAAGAAAATTACATGTATAAGTTTTGTATATTTGTTAATAATTTTGGTAATAAATATGATGTACTGCATCTCAGTACCTTAGCACTTCTTTTAATAAAAGTTAAATAGAAGGGAAAGTGTATTCCACATTTGTTTAATGGCTGAGCAGATAGAAGATGACTTTGTAATCCTGATCTAACCCCAGATTCCTGGGGCTGGGGCTGATGCATAAGGCAAAAGCAATGGCAAAGAAATGTGAAGCTGTGCTTTCTATTTCAGTTCTCTGACCAAATGAACATGATGGTTCAAATTGTTAAGCTTTTAGTGAACATTCTTTATTCTCTCACCTCTGAAAAAAGCAAAGGATGGCTTGGTAATATCAGTGATACAGTGGTAAATTTAGCCCATGTTTTTCATTTTATGAGAGTGTGTTAGACATAGCCACCAAGGAGGCAGGCTAGTGGGCTACTTACATCTGTTATATTGGCAAATCAAATATATTCCACTCATCAACCCTAGGTGAGTTCACAGAAGGTTGACACCATATTTATTCATCTTTCCTTTTCCTACAGTAGCTAACATAGTTCTTTGCATACAGTAGGTGCTTAATAAGTGCTTAGCGGTTACATGATGGAAGAGACCTTTCTTTGACATTCTGTTACTAAAGAATATTTTACACAATTATCCTCACAGTTGAGGACAAATTGTGAGCAAAATAGTTTTGTAAGAGCCTTGGTGATAGCAACAGTTCTCAAATTTGAATTTATATCAGAACTACCCGGATAATTTTGTACACTCTCTCACCCTCAGAATTTCTGATTGAATAAATCTAAGGCAATTGGCATTTCTAAGTCATTTGTGGGTAATGCTGATGCTGCTTGTCCAGGGACCACATTTTGAGAACCTCTACTATGGTTGCTCACTCTTGAACATACAAAGATTAGGTTATCAGCCCACTTGCATTGCATCTCATCCCGTCACCAGAGTGGTGTTTTGAATCTTTTTTTCCAGTAACAAGGACAGTTTGACAGAAATGTATGAGAAAACTGATGAGGGTCTGGGAGCCAGCAAGATGTGCTTTTGTGCATATGACATGGTACACTAACAGCCAGGCAAATGCTCATCTTCTATCTTCAGCATACTAACCCCTTTCTTCCCATGAAAAGCAGGCAGCTTTCACACAACCTGTTTAAGGATAGGGTGTAATGTAAAAATAAATAAACTTAAAGCAAAAGAAAAAGCATGAACCCAAACTATGCTCTACAACATTCCAATTATATGAATGTGGGCAAATCAACCTCTATAACATGCTTCCTTTCTACCACAAGCCCTGAGGGTACTTTTGTGACTACTTCACTGTGTTGCTTGTGTTACAACTGGGAACAGCTGTTATCCTAACCACGGGGGGTTATCATGCCCCACATCCTGCAAATGTGGTCCCCATGATATCGCGCATGAAGTGATTAAACAGAATCTCCTGCATCTTCTGGTCCCTGGGAGGATGTTTAATGGTGTAATACAGAAAGTGTGAATGAAGCACAAAATAAGAGATCCACTTCAGCTCATACTCTCAGCTGAAAGAGACCCCTCCCCTCCAAATGAGCTACTGTAGGAAAAGGAAACTTCCTTTTCCACTACCACAGTTTAATACAAATGCTGATCCCTCTGGGGAAAAAAGAAAGAAAGAAAGAAAAAGAAAACCATCATCACCACTATACAGACAATGTGATCAGGTTAGACCAGAGAGCTTTAAAATTATTGAGCCATTTCTTTGTTAACAGTTAAATCACCTAGCCTATAATTTACATGCTGGAGGGAAACAGGAACATCTATTGAAATCAATTGATAAGACTCAGTCTGAAACTGTATTCTGAATGAGAACACAAAGATAAAAATTATCAATGACTTTTCTAAATCTAAAAAAGAGAATACCCAAACATGACAGATAGCAAAGGCGAAGATGGAGTGGTTTACACAAGAAAGAATCTATAAATCCTGAAAACAGAATTCAAACAAGTCAGAATCAGTACAGGCACATTGATCAAAGGTTGTCACTAGTTCACCAGTGATGCAGGACTAGACCTTGATGTCAGAATTCATAGGATAGCCATATAATGCTGGGACTATATGAACATAGGATACACTTTACAAGTAGTTCTCATTGCAGATCAACTCTCTCTTAAATCCATTTGTCGTTTTCATAATAGAGTTAAAGAACTTTCAAGATATTATATTTTTTTATTTCTTTTTTTCTTTCACATAGCCAAGGATAATTAGCATCAAGATGTTATTATATATATTAATAAATACCTGGGTTTGAAAAGTTTCTGCTTGATTCTTAAGGATCAAGGTTCTAATATAGGAAGTGGATAAAATTAGGTCAAGGGGTCCTCTTTTTTAATTTTTTTTTTTTTTTTTGAGACAATGTCTCATTCTGTTGCCTGGACTAGAGTACAGTGGCATGATCATAGCTCACTGTAACCTCAAACTCCTGGGCTCAGATGATCCTCCTGCCTCAGCCTCCTGAGTAGGTAGGACTACAGGCACATGCCACCATGCCTGGCTAATTTTTGTATCTTTGTGTAGTCAGAGTCTGTGTTGCTTAGGCTGATCTTGAACTCCTGGCCTCAAGCAATCCTCCTGCCTCAGCCTCCCAAGAGCTAGGATTACAGGCATGAGCTACCACATCCGGCCAGGGGGTCCTCTTTTTAAAATGACCTACTAATGAGACTTATATATGTCTCTTTTATGTTATGCAAAAAACATGAATATTAATTTATATTCTATGTAATTAACTGTAACACCAACTCAAAACACAATTTTTCTTAAATCTTTCTTCCTGGGACAGGAAGCTAGCAAATCCTACCTCATTTATTTGGCCATATTCTTGGTTTTGTAAGCATGATCAGATGGCTGATGATGAGGGAGTTTCCTTATACTCCAATGCTTTGGCCACCGTGCCCACCTTCCTGGTGCCCATGATGCCAAAGACTCTACCTCCCATCCCAGAAAACCTTAGACCACTTCTCTGAGAGTGGCCACTCTCAGAAACTAGTATAACTACCTACATAATCTTTTCTAATTTTTCAGGAGGGCTAGATCCTAGGTTTTTGTAAATTATTATTCCCATTTCTTCCCCTTCTTTCCTATCACATATTTCAGTTACCATTGCTACATAAAAAATTTTAAAAATAAAAAAGTGATGTAAAATCATAACCATGTTATTATGCTCATAGACTCTGCAGGTCAGGAATTCAGAAATAGTTCATCAATGACACCTTGTCTCTGCTCCACAATGTCTGGGACCTCAACTGGGAAGATTCAAAAGCTAGGGGCAATTCACAGGCTGGGATTCAATTTATCCAAAGGTTTGCTGGCGCACATGTCAAGAACCCCTGATGGAGCAATTGTCAGCCAGACTCCTCAAGTGGCTGCGTGGGCTTCCTCACAGCATGGGGGCAGAGTTCTAAGAGTTAACATCACAAGAAAACCAGGCAGAAGCTGAATCACCTTTAAGACTTCAGAAGTCACATAGCATTACCTCGATGGCAGCCACAAGCCTCCCCACACTGAATAAGAGGGAACATGGACTCCAGCTCTCAATAGGAAGACTGTCAGAGCTACATTGTAAGAAGAAATAGTGTTATGCCCATTACTGGAACATATAATCTGCCATGTTATCTTTTCCTCTTTTCTACCCTGCCTCTTCCCCCTATCCAGGAATCACTTTTGGTTCCATTCACCATTTCCTTACTCTCTTCCACTCCCCTTCCTCTCTATAGAGTATATTCTTCTTCTATAGACATAATACTCTTTGGTGAAATTCAGCTTTATCCCCGTCACACAGTACTTTCTGAAGTAAATGAATATTTCATGAAAACACCTAGCAAAATATCTGACATATAACAGGCACGAAATATATTTTTATTGAGGTGTGATTGGCATACAATGAACTGCACGTATCTACAGCATATAATTTAATAACTTTCGACGTATGTGTACACCCATGAAACCATCACCACAACCAAGACAGTGAGTATATCTATCCCCTCAAGAGTTTTCTCGTGCCCCTCTGTAACACCTCC